GGGTGGAGAGGGAGGTGGGAGGGGGGACTGGGATGGGGAATACATGTAAATCCATGGCTAATTCATTTCAATGTATAACAAAAACTACTGTAATGATGTAAAGTAATTAGCCTCCAACTAATAAAAATAAATGAAAAAAAAAAAGAAAAACAAAACAAAAAAAATATATATCTTCTGGTTCTATTAGGTCCATACCATTTCTGTCCTTTTTGAGCCCATCTTTGCATGGAATATTCCATTGGTATCTCTAATTTTTGTGAATATATCTCTAGTCTTGCCCATTCTGTTGTTTTCCTCTCTTTCTTTGCATTGATCCGTGAGGATTTCTTCTCTCTCCTTGCTATTCTTTGGAACTCTGCGTTCACATGGGAATATCTTTCCTTTTCTCCTTTGCTTTCACTTCTTTTCTTTTCACAGCTATTTGTAAGGCCTTCTCAGACAATCATTTTGCTTTTTTGCATTTCTTTTTCTTGGGGGTGGTCTTGATCCCTGCCTGCTGTAGAATGTCACGAACCTCTTTTGTCCATAGTTCATCAGGCACTCTGTCTGTTAGATCTAATCCCTTGAATCTATTTCTCTTGAATCTATTTGTTCAGATTGTAGTTCCCTGGTAATTCTTTTTACTCTGATGATTAATTTTTGCCCAGCCTTTCATAGCTTCTACGCTGTACATGCACAGTGCATTCAAGTGAAGTATTCAAGTGAAGGCTTAAACCATATTCTGAAACTCTTTCTCTGAGTAGTTCTTCCTTTCTGCACTGCTGATTGCAAATTCCAGACATCTCATACTCCCCAAACTCAATTTTTGTCTCTTCATACCAGCTTTGCTAGGATATGCTTATGTGGACTTTGGTCTGAAAGTGTCTCCAGGCATAAAACCAGGGCAATTGTAAGGCTTACCTCAGTTATTTCCTTTTTTTCTGAGATCACATTTTGCTCTGCCTGTGTTTCAGCATCTGAAAATAGGTATTTCATTTACTTTGTCCTGTTTTCTAACTTTGCAGAGCTATTCTGGTACTCCTTACTCCATCCTGGCTGGAATCCCTTGTTATTTTGTCAGTGAATCCTTCATTTATCAGAGCTTCTTCCCAGGTCTCTTTGCTTCCAGTCTAGTTTTTTCAATCCATCTTTCACAGTCCATTATTAAATAAACACAGATGAACTCCCCTTCTCAAAAACTTGTCATAGCTTCTTGCCTTTCTTATAACAGTAATATATAAATCTATTTAGTGTTTAGACAGTTACATCAGGCTTTCCAGTTTACTGTCTCATTTAATAAAATCTAACTTATTTACTTGAATAGTCAAGGATTTTATATTTAACTGCAACCCTTACTAATTTAGTAACTGAGTAAGGAGTGCAAAAATGTGTTATAAACTGTAAGGGGACATATCAATACAAAGATCAGTTATATAGTTGGTTCTGGACCTAAAACAGATATCACCTTGATTTTAGGCTTGTATCAGTTTAGGAATCCTTTGAGATGCAAGTAACAGAAAACCTGATTAACAGTATCTGAATCAGGGTAAAGTTTTATATGTTTAGCCAAACAAGGTCAGAAGAACCAACTGCGGGTTCACCATCACAGGACCATCCCCTCTGCATCTATTCTGGCTTTCCCTCTTAAGAGCAGAAAGACTGCCCTACATAGTCTTCCAGGAAAGAAGATAGAAATGGAAGATGGAGGGCGAAGTGGGAGGGAAAGCCGCCTTTTCACTTTTGTCAGGAAGAAACAGTGTTACTGAGGGATCCCAGCAGAACTTACATTGCAACAGTGGATTCTAGGGAAGCGAGTATTTAGTTTTATCATCCTCTGCAACAGAAGGCAAGGCAAGGAAATTAGGTGTATAAGCCAACACGGACTGCTAGAGAATGCATAATCTGCTTTTCTGAAAATCCTTTTTATGTCTGCTCTCGTGAAGATGACCCATACTCGTCATTCCAATGAATGTCTGCTACACAAAGTTCTCTGATCTTCTCACTTTTCTGAATCCGCACAACACTTGTTCGTGTTATTGCTATTCTTGGTATTTTTTCTGACATGTTCCTCTTTTAAAGTAAAGGATTCAGTATGCTTTGTGTATATATCCACCCATCTCTTACCTTGACTGTCTTTGTTTCTCTTCACGTGTTAAGTCATTCTCTGCCATTGGAGACATCCTTTTAGCCTGGAAGATTAGCACATGCAACCTTAGGCTTAGAGCCTTCTAAGACCACCATGACCCTAGAGGTGTCAGAAACCTAGAGGTGTCAGATGTGTGCATAACTGACACATTGATTGTGTGCATTATCATTCCCACTTCTTCATATCCTCTGTCTGCTATGTGACCTCATAGTTCACTATAGTGGGCAGAATGTATTTCCCCACCCCAATGAAATATTAATCAGAATGACATGAGCAGAGACCTTAAATGTGCTTGTGTGATTTAGCTTGACTTGTGCCTCAGCCATATATCACTAAGAGAATTTCACTCAGGTTGTTGCCAGTCCAAGGAGGATGAGAGACGTGGAGCGGATCTGCGTCCAGTCAGCAGCTTGAAGCTAGGGAGGCCCAGAAGACCTACAGATCTGTGATGGATGCTTGTTGTAAGCACTGAGTCCTGAGTTGTTTTGTTATGTGACATCTTGTAGTGATGGTCGTTAACACAGCAGGATTCTAAATGGCTAAGTTTAATTGGCTCATTTCTGAATCAGTTTGACTGACTGGTACTTTAATTGGCCAGGCTTGGATTACATTCCCACCTCTCCCCTTCACCCCTCCCCCCAAAATAGATTGACTGAAGAATGGGGCTACAAGGATGAAAATCTGACCTCATAATATGAGAGAGATATTTCTTCGAAGAAAAGTGGTTATTGTTACCTGAAGAAGGGAGTTGGTTTGAAAATAGAACAAACAGGCAAAAATAGTCATAATTCACTTCAGTGTTGTTTATACTTCAGTATCGATTGCTAGAACTTAAGCTGGCTGGCTGTGTGCAAGGAAATCTGCTTCAGTCATCTTGTATTTCAGTACTTACCTTACAGGTTGAGCTTGTGTCAGTTAGGATTAGGTTCACTGCAGTAATATAAAAATCCCCAATACAAGTGACTTTAAAATATAGGACTTTATTTTTTTCTCTTGCATTGAAGTCTGAAGATGGACAGTCTAGGATGGATGTGATAGCCCTGACCTAAAAGTCCTCAGGAACGAATGTGGGTTCTAGCTTTCTAGTCTGTCATCCCTAGGATGTGGGCTCATCGTTTTGTGCAAGAGAGAGCCTCTTTCATTAGAGACACATTTTAAACAGCAAGGTGGAGAAAGATGAGAAGACAGAGCAAAGAATATATACTGGCTGCTTTTTAAGGATATTTCTCAGGAACTGCGACATAACATTTCTGGTTACCTCCCACCCTTTCAGTGGTGAGAGCCAGGATGAAAGGGAGACTTGGGATCAGATCTTTATTCCAACATCCAGGCACCCAGCTAAAAATCAGGACTTCTAAGGCAGGGACAGTGGGCTTCTCGGTGGCTCAGCTGGTAAAGAACCTGCCTGCTAATGCAGGAGACCCAGGTCTGGTCCCTGGGTTGGGAAGGTCCCCTGGAGCAGGGAATGGCTAGTATTTTGGCCTGGAATATCCCATGCACAGAGGAGCCTGGTGGGCTATGGTCCATGGGGTCGCAAAGAGTTGGACATGACTGAGAGACTAACACTTTATCTTTTTTCAAGTAGGGACAATGGATATTACACTAGGCAATAAACAATCTCTGTCCTAGTACTCAATACATATTTCTTGAATAAATCTGTTGATTGAATGAATCATGTATTAAAAATTAAATTTGGTTAGTAAACACTGAAAACTAAGTTTTCAGTCTTAGACTAAATGCTGGCTTAAATAATCTATTTGAGATAAAATACCTATTTCAACTATTTCTCATTTTTAATAAGCAAAAAAGGAAAAAATGACTATTTGCTTTAGAATTCTTTTTGCTTTACACTCGAATGGTGTGGTAGGCTTATTTCAGTATTGTTGATCTGTTTTCTAAAAGTCTAATTTTTATAGGATTCTCGACTGAGTTTCATGCTTCTCCATTGGAATTCTTGACTCTGAAGAACATGTCTCTTAAAATTATGGGTCCTCTTAAGCTTAGACCAGCATCCCTTTGAAAGTTTGGGCTACAAATACTTGCATTAAAGGGATTTACCACCTATAGTTTCAGTAATGCTGACATTATGGGTAAGCTGTCTGCTGATCCATTGTCCTATTGTGCAAGCAGACAAACCAAACCTATTTCCTGTCTGTGGATAAATTCAACATTGACATTGCTGGGAGGAGATTGGGAGTTAACTACTAGCTATTGATTTTTTTTTTTTTCCACTGTGGGCCAAATCCAGTTTTTAGTAATATGCACAATTCCTGCTGTTAAATTCAGAGTGATAAAAGGAAAGTTTGGAGTTGATGTCAGAGTTAGAAATCTATTTCATAATATTTTACCAAAGGTTTATTTTTATGTTTCATCTTATAAATATCAGATGTCTGAGTGTGGAATACTCAAGCTAGAATCTTTTTTTCTTCATTATTCTGCTAAATTTTACATGCTAAGTGTAGTAATGATTCACTTATCTATAATCTGTAGGAAATAAGTGGTTCCACCACAGTTTTTTTTTTTTAAATAACTGGAAAATAATAGTTTTTAAAGCTTTAAAAATTTTTAGCTGTTTTGAAAGAAAGTTGCAATAGGCTGAATGTTCTCCCCAAATCCTTATGTTGAAATCCTAACCACCAATGTGATGGGATTTGGAGGGTGGAGCCCTCATGAATAAGATTAGTATTCTTATAAATAAAAGAGGCCTCCATGAGCTCCCTTCCTCTCCTGCCTCAAGAGAACTCAGTGACAAGGTGGCTATCTATGAACCAGGAAGTAGCATCTCACCTGGATACTGAATCTGCCAGCAGTACCTCAGTCTTGGACTTCTAGCCTCCAGAACTATGAGAAATAAATTTATGCTGTTTATAAGCCCCTTAGTCTAAGGCATTCTGTAATAGCAGCCAAACAGATTAAGACAAAAGTTTTCTAAAATGTATTATGTGCTTTTTGGCTATGTAGAAGATAAATAAATATATATATATATATGTGTGTGTGTGTGTATATATATATATATAAGATAATTGCTACACTAGCTTGGGAGTTATGTTTCTGTGTTAGACTGAGTTGCTGTGAAAATAGACTTAGAAAATCAGTGACTTCGTGAACAAGAAGGTTATTTCTTCCTAACAGAATAACTGAGCGTATACCAGATTGGGCTTCCCTGGTGGCTCAGATGACAAAGAATCTGCCTGCAATGCTGGAGACCCAGGTTTGATCCCTTATTCAGGAAGATCCCTTGGAGAAGCAAATGGCAACCCATTGCAGTGTTCTTGCCTGGAAAATGCCATGGACAGAGGAGCCTGGAGAGCTGCAGTCTATGGGGTTGAAAAAGAGTTGGACACGACTGAGTGCCTAATACACACCTGGTTGGTAGTAACTCTGTTCCACATGGCAAGTCAGGGATCCGGATTCTCCTGTCTTGTCATCTTGTGATGCTTTTATCCTCTAGAACCTTGTCATCAGGTCAAGACTTGTTCAGGTTTCAGCCAATGGAGACAGCAGCATGTGGACAAGGCACAGCTCTCTTAAAGGCTGGAGTTGCGAAGAATCAGGCACACGCCACAGCTGCTCATGTATCCTGGGGCTTCCCTGGTGGTTCAGCGGTACCCACTTGCCAATGCAGGAGCCTCGGTTTCGATCCTGGGCAGGAAGATTTGCTGGAGAAGGGAGTGGCAACCCACTCCAGTATTGTTGCCTGAAATCCCATGGATAGAGGAGCCTAGTGGGCTATAGTCCATGGGGTCATAAAAGATTCAGATGTGACTTAGTGACTCAACAATAATAACATGTGTCACAGCTGGGATTTTAGTCACATAGCTACATCAGTCTGCAAGGGAAACTGAGAATGTCACCTAATTATGTGGCAGGAAAAAGGGGTGGATGAATATTGGTGGGCAGCTAGCTATCTCTCATAGCCTGCAACTCTGACTGCCTATTTTTGCATGTATCCTTCTCACATTCATCCTTTTTACATGCAAGAGCACATAGAGCACACTCACCTCTATCCCAAGGCAGATGACTCAAAGTTCCATCCAGTTACTGTATCCAGCTTTAATCCAAATATTTCTGAGTGACATTCAGTCTTTCCACTCAGGTCTAAATATAACTCAGGTAGATCAGAGTGGGCCAGGAAATTAAAACCCCTGTTCAGATGAGAGAAGAATGAGAGACACAGCAGTCGTTGGTCCCCAGCACTGATGGGGACCAGCTGGGCAGGGGTCTCAAAGCCCTCTGCTCTGGCACTGGAGGACGTTCCTTGATTGGATCCTGTTTCTGCTCCTCGGGAGGGAATTCTTACCCGTTGCTTTCTGTGGTCCCCTACCCTACTCTCTGGAAGAATCTTCCTCATCTGTTAATCTTGTTGGCCACATCTGAAGTGGGTTGTGGAAATATGTTCCCCTTTGGAGCTGTATTTTGCAGCTGTTTGTAGGCCTAAAGTTTGTTTTAAGACTCAGAGAGACACACAGCTATTTGGTTCTCAGGCTCATGGATTCTTTACCAACATAGTTTCCTCAGTCTTACTAAGCCTGCAGTTCGCTTGCTTTCAATATGTCTGTAAGCACAACCCCAGTTTTTTTCTGGATATATTCAACATAGTACTTCAGTTTTTGCTTTCTTGTTCTTCCTGTGACATGTTCTTTTATTTTAGTGGCAGCTATCTTGAGGCCATCTGAAAAGTTAGGTTGGACCAGAAAGGCAACAGTCTGATCTGCTATTTAATCACTATCACTCCCTCAGGAGGTCTTCTGTGATTAACCTATTTAGAGCCCCATCTCAGTCCCACCTCACCCCAATCTTGAAAAAGAAAACAAACAAACAAACATATCACTTTATTATATTTACAAAATACATATACATGTGATGCATTTATCTTATTTATAATACTTGTGTATTGTCGATCTTTGTCCTCTAGCATGTAAATTTCATGAGATTTGGAAGTCATATTTTGTTTTCTCATGTATCTCAGGGACAGAGAATATTGTTATTTAAGCACTAAGTTGTGTCCCACCCTTTTGTGACCCCATGGACCATAGCCCACCAGGCTCCTCTGTCCATGGGATTTTCCAGGCAAGAATACAAGAAGAAATCCCTTCTCCAGGGGATCTTCCTGACCCAGGGATCTAACCCTCATCTCTTACTTTGACAGGTGGGTTCTTTACCACTGAGCCACCAGGGAAGTCCTGGGACAGAGAATAGTGCCTGCCAAATATTTGTTGAATGAATAAATGAATGAGTGATTTGAGTGTGTGGTGACTTTTCTGTATATTATGCTGTTAATGAGCTGTGCAAATACTGTGGATTATAGCTATTTCCTCTTCTTGCATGGAAACAGAATTCTCATTTTGTTCATTTGGTGTAGAGGAGAGCAGGGAGGATACATCTTTGTTCTATGTTCTTTAGCCATAGAGAACTCTTCTATGCTGGTTATGGAAATTCTGTTCTTTTTCATATTGTCTTATGACAAATCTAAACAGTGTATTAAAAAGCAGAGACATCATTTTGCCAAGAAAGATCTGTATAGTCAAAGCTGTGGTTTTTCCAATAGTCACATATGAATGTGAGAACTGGACCATAAAGAAGGCTGAATGCTGAGGAATTGATGATTTTGAACTGTGGTGCTGGGGAAAACTCTTGAGAGTCCCTTGGACAGCAAGAAGATCAAACTATAGTCAATCCTAAAGGAAATCAATCCTGAATATTCATGGAAGGACTGATGCTGAAGCTGAAGCTCCAACCCTTTGGCAACCTAATGAAAAGAGCTGACTTATTATAAAAGACCCTGATGCTAGTGAAGATTGAGGGCAAGAGGAGAAGAGGGTGACAGAGGGTAAGATGGTTGGATGGCATCATTGACTCAATGGACATGAGTTTGAGCAAACTCCAGGAGATGGTGAAGGATGGGGAAGCCTGGCATGCTGCAGTCAACAGGGTCGCAAAGAGAGGGGCACAACTTAGCAACTGAACAACAACAAGCAATATCAGTCTTGACAAGTGAGAGGTAAGCAAAAATGTAGTAGAATGGAAAAAACCTGTGGAAATAAAAATAATATGCTTACCCACTTCCTGCTTTGGCTGTTGTTTACCCTTGTGTTGGTGTGATCGTGAAGCTTTAGCCACCATCTTGTGACCCCAAAGGCAGACATCTCTAACAAATTGAGGTGGGAAGAGTGGAAGGATAGAAAGAACCCACATGACATAATTGAATCACTGCACCAACCTTGGATTCACTTTCTTTTTTAAATGAGATGATAGTGTCCACTTCATTTAATCCTGTTCTGTTATTAATCCTGTAATCCTGTAAAATGTAAACATTTAATCTTGTTCTGTTATTAATCCTGTAATCCAGTATTCTGTCACTTGTTGATTGCAGCTGAAAACATCCTAACTGATAGAGTAACAGTATCTTCAGTGGTTGCTGAGGCTAATTGGCCACCATTCTGTTACTCATTCAACCATTTGTCTATTTACTCATTTATTAAGTTTACTATATACCAGGCAAAACTTAGAGTAAAGAGATTAAGAGACAGCTCATGCATATCCTAGAGGAATTGACAATAAAGTTACAAACAAATAATCACTGAGTCATCTATCTAGCACACTGGTACCACAGAGCAGGTGCTTATTAGCTTTCAAATTCACTATAACTAGTGGAATTTGTTAGTCTTTTAGGCACTTCTAATTGGATACAGGTAGTCAATCCTGTCATTTCTGCAGTGGGCCCATGTGAGGTCTACTCTCAGGCATGATTTGAGAGAGGCTTTTTTCTGTTTCCAGAAAGGAGTGACACCAATGTAGGCAATTTAGTCATATTGTTTATTTCTTGTCTACTCAGACATAAACTCCCTGTTGAAGATTATAGGGTTAAGGAATGGGTGAGTCAGTTTGCCTTTTATTCCTCCATCTTTACCCAAAATCCTTTTTAAACACCCAGGCTAGAATGTGTTGATCGACTTGTGGCAGCTTAAGTTTTTGCTACAGGCTATTGGTAAAATTTGCATGTATGCCTAGAAAATAAATTAGAATTGCAGATTATTAAATATTTCAGTTTAATCATCTGGAAAGCCATAGTGTTTTTGTCTTCAAAAACAAAGCAAAACAAAAGCCCTGCAGCTATATCATCTAGTCATTGATATATTGAACTTTTAAAAAATTTTTTTACAGAGTCATTCAGTATGTGCAAATGGTAATGTTAGCTGCCAAATGAGGGTTAGGCTTTCTACCTAAAACTCAGTAAGAGAAGATGCTATTTTCATAATTAAAGTTCAAATGACAAATTCATGTGTACTCAGGATGAGTCTTAATCTCCCTATGGTGGATCGTAATTTTAAGTTCATTGACTTACCTTTTATGTTGGGTTCATTAAAAGTTTACGCAGGAAAAAAGTTTATATAGCAAGCTCAAGAAAAGTTATTAGTGACTAATAGTAGTATACTGATTTCTGAAAGACTTAACATGTAGATAAATTCAAACAGTCATGGGAAACTGTTCCAGAGCTACTCTTAGTTTATGAAAGTTTGTATCAAGTACTTTTAAGTCTAAATATCCCTATTTTTTTCTTTCTGCCTTAGAATGGTTTGGGGATTTTTTCATTCCATTCTATGTTTCTGTTTACTATTTGGTCACCAACTTCTCTTAATGATATTTGACCCTTTGTTTGCTTTTGGTTTATGATATTTAATAACTTGGCACAGTTAACCAGATGTAAGGGAGAGGTTATATTTTCACACATAAGCTTTATTTTTTATAAATATTTTTATGTATTTGGGCTTGCATGGTGCCTCGAACAGTAAAGAATCCACTTGCAATGTGGGAGACCTTGGTTTGAGCCCTGGGTCAGGAAGATCCCCTGGAGGAGGACATGGCAACCCACTCCAGTATTCTTGCCTAAAGAATCCCCAAGGACAGAGGAGCCTGCTGGGCTACAGCTCATGGGGTTGCAAAGAGTCAGACACGACTGAGTGACTAAACCACCACATTTATTTGCTTAGTTGACTGTGCCAAATGTTAGTTGCGGCCTGCAGGATCTTTGATCTTCCTTGTGGCATGCGAGATCTTTTTTGTTCAGTTGCAGTGTGCAGATTCTTTTAGTTGTGGCATGAGAACTCGTAGTTGCATGTGGGATCCAGTTCCCCCACCAGGGATCAAACCTGGGCCCCCTGCATTGGAAGCGTGGGGTGCTAGCCACTGGACCACGAGAGAAGTCTCCAGTACATATAAACTAAAGAGGAACTACTTATGTATATATCTGAGAGGAAAACAAACATAGAAATACATTATTGGGCATCCCTCTTCAGTCAGACTCTTGCAGCAGTCCTCACATCTGTCAGGTGACTGATCTCTGGCTTCCAAGTTGACAATTCAGGTGCAAGGAGATGAGACACATGCATGCAGTCCTGATATGAAAGTGTCATCTCAAATAGGAAACAGTATCTCTTATAACAACATTTGAGGCATAAATTCTGGAGTTTCTGCAAGGGGATTGCCTAGTTCTAAGAGTCATCACATACAGGGAGCCCCAAACTTTGGTTTCCCATCAGGTTTATACAGTTTATATATAGTTTCTCTCCTCCCAGATGCAATTTGTCATGTTTTATCATAAGAAATACTGTCTAGTAACACCACTTCGGTTCTGCTTTTTTTAGGTTTCTA